TAAATAAATGTTAATATTATTAAGGACAAACTACACATTTAATACCAACTATTAGTTTTGGTTCGTTTTAGTACTTAACTTTTATTTTTCTTCAAAATTATACCTAACTTTTAGTTTTTGTTTCATTTTAGTACCATACCGTTAAAAAATTAACGCGTTTAGTACCTAAACTATCAATTTTGATATGTTTTAGTGCCCAGTCTTTCATTTTTAAAAAACTTAACATTAAATTTTGAACAGAGGTACTAAAATGAAACAAAAACTAAACTTTATGTATGATTTTAAAAAATCGAAAGTTTAGGTATGAAAATAGACCAAAACTGATAGTTTAAGTACTAAACTTGTAATTTACCCTATTATTAATAATGTAATTTTTTAATAAAATTTTAATATATTTTCGAGTTGCTCTCGAGTTTTTCTAGTAGAGTATCAATTAGCTCGTTTCGGCTCGTTAAGAACTCGAATTGAGCTCGAGCTCGAGCCGAGTCTATTCGAGTCAAGTATTTATCAAGCGTTGACCGAGTTAATCCCGTGTAACTCACCATCTGTCTCGTTCCATTCGAATTAAGTATTTATCAAGCGTTGACCGAATTAGTCTCGTGTAACTCATCATCTGTTTCGTCTCATTTACATCCTTAACCGAGTCCGCTATGACCCTAGTCAGCATATAAGTATTTACATAAAAAAAATTAGGTTATTACATACTATATTCGGGAGTCGAGTCATTTACTGTATAGCTGGCAGTATGATACTATTGTTTAATTTTTCTCGTCGTTTAACGCTTTACATTAACCTCTCTGACCTGTAAATTTTACTTTTAATAGAAGCCAGATATTTCCATTAATTATTTAAAATAATAATAATATATGTTACATGCCTTAGTACCTACTCTTTATTTTTACCAAACTCTGTTTTGTAAATAATTTTTTTTAAATAAATTTATTTTCTGTTGCTCTTGAGGCTTCTCAGTTCTCTCCCTCTCTTTCTAACCATTATTTTTCATCATAATTTTTCTAGACTACAAATAGTTGAAGAAAGATGAAGCACAGTCAACAAGCAGAGCTAAGTAACTCAAAAAGGAACAACAAATCAGTCAACTGAAATCTAAACAAAAAGCAAATTAGGTAATCTTCTATTTTTATTTTCCATATTTGTTTTTATTTTTTATAATTTTTTATTTGAAGTTCAATTAGGAAAAATTATAGTTTTTTTAGGAAAAATAAAAATCTGGTATAGTCTTAAAAAACAGGTCAAAAAAATGAAGTCTAAGATCTCCAAATCATATGTATTCTAGTTCGTCTGGTTCAAATCATTCTATAGGAAAATTGGGGGTGAACGTTCGATCGAGTTGAGTTAAGTAAAAAGGTTTTGAGTTATTTGATTTTACGAGTCTTATTTTACGACTTGAAGTTGACTTGAAATTTTTGTTGAGTCGATTTGATTTTTTGAGTTTTTGTTTAAGTTTAATTGTAAATATTTATAATATTATGATATTATTTAATTTTAAGTTGAATGATTTTTATAACCGTATATAGGGATGTGCACGGGACTCGAGTCTGATCCGATCAAGTTAGATTTTTTTTAAAAAAAATTCAAATTCGGGTTGGGTCGGGTTTTCTTTTTAAAAAAAATGTTTGGGTGGGGTCGAATTTAAGTTTGAGGTGAAAAATACTTGACTTAACCTTACCCGAAATTATATAAATTTACCTTATATATTTATGGATAATCACAATAATAATCTACTATATATTATTATTTTTAATTAGATCTATATTTTATTGAATAAAAATAATATTTTTATAAATATATTTATTTCAGTTCTGGTCGAATCAGGTTAAGGTTTTATCACAAAAAATTGAGTCAAGTGAAATCACCCCTAAACTCAGGTTGCATTGGATTTCAGGTAGAGGGCATATATTTTCGAGTCGGGTCGGGTTGACAAAAACCCGACCGACCCATGCCCATCCCTAACCATATACAATACATATATATTTATTTATATATTTTTTTCATATGTGTTATACATATATCATACAAAATCAAGAGACTCAACCCAAACTTAAAAATCAATCGACTAATTACTAAAAAAATCGAGTTATTTGAGTTGTAAAATACAACTCGATTTGAACTGGATTTTTTTTGAGTTAGTCGAGTTTATGAAATTACAACTCGAAATCAATTCGAGTTGACTTTTCTCGAGCCGAATCGAATAAAAGTAATCAATTTTTCAAGCGAGTCGAGTTTTACTCACCCTTTAAAAAAACTAATAATATTATCTAGACCGTTGTTCCGACCAATTTTTAATCCAACCGATTTAATCAACCGGTCTGATTTCCATAGCACTAGAAAGGGGGGGGGGGGGACAACCATGTAATGCTTGTCTTGCACCCCTAAAACTTTTTTGTCACATGACATTTTAGGTCCAATTACTTTACTATTGACCAAATTAAGCTTTGTCCCCTGCAAACTTTAGGTTTAAATCTTATTGGGTATATATTCTTCTCAAGTTAAATAAATTAACATCTTTTAATATTTAATTCTAATTCCATTTCCGAATTGTGTTATCTAATTGTTACAGTAATAACAATGTCAGTTGAACATTCGTAATTATAATCTCCTAATTATTTTAACAATTATGTGTCGATTGAGTATTACTCAATCGACTATATTGACAAAAATTTTCAAACAATACATCTAGAAAAAAATCTTAAGATAATGCACCCTAAATAATATTTTTATAAAATGGGATGAATGTTACAATATATCGAAACTTCATTTATAGTTTCGAAACTTCCTTGTTGGTTTGAAATCCCTTTAGGGTTTCAAACCTTGTGATGAAGTAGTTCTAATTTGTCTTGTTAAAACTTTACTTATGATTTCGAAATCCTCTGGTGTTGCCTGCAGTACAATGTGTCTTTGATGTGTCGCCTAGAGTACCATGTGTATTATTAAAATTTAAACCATAACAATATTAATACTATTTTTAATTTGTATTTATGAAGATATATTTTTAATCATAAATTACATAAGACAAACACGTTTGGATATGGACTATTTAGTTATAGATTCTTAAAAATCTTTTAAAGAAATTTTAATTTAGGTTAAATTTGCTCTAAAAATATTATAACCAAAAGCTATTGAAGTCTTCCAAACAATAATGAATTAAAAAAATTCTCAAAAATATAAAAAAAAAATCTAATATTTTTATGGGTAAATTACACACATGGTCCCCTAACTATAGAGTAATGCTTTATTAAGTCTCTCGACTATTAAAAGTTACAAAGCGATTATTTGACTATAGATTGTTGTTTTGTTGAGTCCCTCGACTATTAAAAGTTACAAAATGTTCACTGACTATTCATTATGTTCCAAACTAGTCATTTTTGTAAAAAAATTGACGGTATCCTAAGCTGAACATTGACCTACTGACTGTGATATGATAAAATTTGATCCCAGAATCTCAGACAATCATCATATCTCAACCATTATGTTAACGTCCAACTTGGATAACCACTAATTTTTTTAACGAAAAATGATGAGTTTGGAACATAACGAATAGTTGAATGACCATTTTATAACTTTTAATAGTTGATGTACTATTTTTATACTTTACCCTATTCTTATATCATGTCAAATCATAGAAAAATCGATATGTCTTTATTCACATAAGATTGTAACATATATATTAGTTACATTAGCTTGTGAAAGGTAAGATAATCAAACACAATACTAAAAAAATAACCTAACAATTAGCCTAATATCATGAAAACTACAAAATCATATTATGTTAAAGGATAGAAACATTTTTAGAAAAATGATATACCTTAACTCATTATAAGATTATAGTATTTGTATTTAAAAAAAATAAAATAAAAAACTAAACACAATTCTAAATTAGTATTAGACAACTACATTTTTTAAGGCAGGCACACATAGGTTAACAACGTAAAACTTTTAAATGGAACGGGTACAAATAAAATTTCAGGATGAGCATCGTCCGTAAAATAAGTAACTAATCGAAGAAAACTCAGATATTCAGGGTGGGCACAAAAACTTTTAGGGTGTGCACCATCAGTAAAATAAATAAATAATCAAAGAAAATTCAAATTTCAGTGTGAGATCGTGTCCACCCTCATCAGTAAAAATGAAAAAAAAAAATAAGATGAAGGAGAATACAATAACAATTATAATAAAACATACATTCTAACTAGTTGATCAAAGACTAGTGATTGCCCTTTGATAAATAAAAGTAAAAAATCATAAGAGGTCTTTGTACTTTAAAAGAATACAATATGGCACTCACATCATTTTTTTTCTCAACGTGGCTCTTCAACTCATAAAATAAATTTAATGTGACCTTTTGACCAATATTTATTATCGTTTGACTAATACAGTGTTGGTGTGGCAGTTCACGATATTGACGTGTCAGTCCATCTACCGTATTTTAGTTACTAATTTAGTCTATTTGTCATGTTGTTTTCCATGTTATCAACCATTATGGACTACCACATCAATACTGTGGACCGTCACGTCAGCACTACGAATTGTAACGTCAGTACTGTAACGGTTAACGATGAAAAACATTGGTCAAAGGGTTATATTAAACTTATTTTTATGAGTTCAAAGGCACATTGAGAGAAAAAATAATATGATGGTCATATTAATTTTTTAAAGTACATTACCTCTGATATATTTTTACCTAAATAAAAGAATATTTTAAATGCATAAAGATATATTATTAAATTTATAAATAATTTTGTTCTAATATTAACACCATAAAATTATATTTTTAATCATAAATTACATAATAAAGACACTTGTCAACCTTGAACTCTTTAGTTGCATATTCCTTTTTGCCTATGTACTATAACTTAGATTTATTCTTAAAAATGTTGTAACTACCGTTCAAAAGGGATTTTTTTTTGGCTTGGGCAATAAATATTCACTTTCAAAACACACAAAAATCAGCAAAAAAAGAAAAATCCTAAAATTTGACGCTTTGTCACTCTCGCTGGTTTTCTTCCCTGTCCGAAACGCCGCCGTTCGCGCTCTCCTTTTTTTTTTGTCTCTCCTTAATTTTCTCTCTAAAGATTCTTCAGTTGTACTCTTCGTCAACTTCCCCACTCGTGAGAGCAGTTCCACCAACTGTGCCTTTGTATGATGAAGAATCATAGCCACAGTTAGGGTTTTGTCTTTTATTAGAATTCAATTGGCTTGATTAAGTTTTGAATTTAATTTCCTTTGTTTTTATGTATTAGTCTGTTATTTGATGTGAATGTGTTTGTTAAGTTTGAAAATTTTTGAATTAGTAACGGAGTGGGATTGCTTACTGGCTTAGTTCCTCTTTTACTGTGGGGTTTTTGTTCATGCATGATTTATTCATTTGTTTGATTTTAGGTTGGTAGCAATGGTGCTGTTTGATTTTAAAAATAAATTGAAACTCTTAGATGACCCTTGATTGATTTGAAGTGTTTTTGCTTAGAGAATTAGATAAGAAATGCACATTTTAGTAGTGGAGAATTTGTCGAGGAATGTGGAAAAATAATTTAGGAACCATATAAGAAATGGTAACTTGAGACTGACCCTTTCTACATGCATTCGCTTAGAATTTGGATGGGTATACTTCTCTGATTAGAATCGATATTCTTCCTGAAATCTTGGTGCTGCTCCAATATTGTTATTTGCAACCGCGACAACCCTGGGCAGGGATTTAAATAGTGGTCCGCGACCGCTATAGCGCCCGCAATATAGTGGTAGCGGTGCCCTCCAAAACCGTTATTATATGACCGTGATACCTGCAATCCTCTTAATAGTGCCCGCTATGTCTGCAATCGCGACGCGACCGAAAGCGCTACCTCGACCACTATTTGAATCCCTGACCCTGGGTAGCTAGTTCTTGGATAATTTCGATAACTTAAGATTGTTAGTGGAAATGGTTGGATTTGCAACTTTCAATATGCTCATCCTAGCTACGCTGGTTATTTCTTGCCACAGGTTGGGTTTCCTTTAAGGAATGAGGGGAAACTAATAACCATTTCAACTCAAATGGCTGCTGTGGATCCAATAGACATTAGTTCTTCTGATAGTGAGTTTGAAACGGAAGATGCTGGAGAAAGGAATGCCTCATTTCCAAGGGTTCTTCCTCAATGGGCAGTTACAGATGGCACCAATTCAAGGAGTACTGGTTAGTCTGTGTTTCGATTAATTACCATTTCAAAGCTCAATGTTTCTCTCACTGAACTGTGAAATCACACTTAAATGATGCAGGCGACGTTAGGCAGTCTCAAAAGATTTCCAATCAAGCACACTTTTCTAATTTGAGTTCTTCCAGTGTAAATGATCATTCAGGAAAAGCTAAAGCCTCATCTCATCATAGTGCCCTAGATGATGGTTCTGAATATTTGACCATGAATGGGAATATTGGTCAACCTCGGACTGTTAATTCTCGAATTTCTAATGTTCCTGGTACTGATTTTGAGAAACTGACATCCCAGCAGGCTCTGAAGAGGACTCTTCCTCCGTCTCTTCAGCACTTTGGACAAAATAGTAAATCAGATAATTTAGTGAATGTGGGCAGCAGTCGGATTCATGTTGCTCCTGGAAACTCTAACAATTTGGGTGGACCTAGTTTTTCCAATAGTCAGGGCTATATGAGAGATCACTATAGCAGGGGCAACACTGATGGAGTGTCGTATGGAAACACTAGTAGGATTCTTCCTCCATCTTTTTTGCAAGGAAATTCTGTGAATTTTACACAGTTTGCTGGTCCAGAAAATCCTGTATACAATGCTGGAATAAGTGATGAAAGAGTTCCCATAAGTGATGAAAGAATGATTTATCAAGCAGCACTGGAGGTATTTCATGTTTGATTTGAGAGTTGCCTCATTCATTTCATGATTTAACGTTTGATGATCCACTGCGCATTATGAAAATTCTTGCATCTTAGACTGGAGTGATGTTATGTTAACAAAATGAACCTTTTTTCCTCATTAAGAACGTTTTTTGTTTTGTAAAGTACGAACACTATGGTTATTTAACTTTACAACGAACTTGCTGGAATTCTGAATTTTACCTCATATGCATAATTTATTCTCATTCAAATGTATTTTTTTGCCTTTTCTGGATGCACTTATACTATCTTTTAAACATTGAAAGTTGTCATTCTGCTATGGTATTTTTCTATTGTGAACTTAATGAACTTTCTTATGCTAAACTTATGGAGTACGAATTTGTGGATGGGTTTCTTTTCTTGCTGTTTTGTTTTTGCTCTTCATGTGATTTGTGTTAATGATAATATTTTGTTGTCTGCTTTATTTTCTAGTTCCTAAAAAGTTGTTTCATATTTGATGTGTTTTGAGAGTTTATATATGAAGGGCTTATGTTTCATGCAGGACCTCAGCCAACCAAAAGCTGAAGCTAGTATTCCTGATGGTTTTCTGTCTGTTCCTCTCTTCAGACATCAGGTCATATTTTTTTACATGTTATGTATGATTTTTGAGTTCATTTTGGTTATATGGTTTTATCCTTCTTTTTTATTATTGTGTACATGTTAAATGGGTTATTTAATCATTGAATTTTGCAGAAGATTGCATTACATTGGATGCTTCAAAGAGAAACAAGAACTAGAATTTGTGCAGGTGGAATATTAGCTGATGATCAGGTTATTTGTTTAATTTTTTTTTCTATTGTTATGGTTATTATTTGATTCATATATGATCAATGTTCCATCAATGCATATTTTGCAGCGTAATTTTCTTCTGAGATTTATCATGGTTCATCTTACAGGGCCTCGGTAAAACAATCTCAATGATTGCTCTTATACAAATGCAGAAGTTTTTAGAGTCCAAATTAAAACCAGAAGATCCAGAAAAATGTGAAGTTGTATCTTTGAATTTGGACGACGATGATGATAATGGTACTAGTGGGACAGGCACAGTAAAGCAAAATAGAGAATCAAATGATACCAAGTCGATTCCAGAAGTTAGTACTTCTAGCAAAGCAATTAGTAGACAGAGGTTACCAGCAGGGACATTGGTTGTGTGTCCAGCAACTGTTCTTCGACAGTGGGCGAGGGAGCTGGATGAAAAAGTTGCCGAGGAATCTAAACTTTCTGTCCTCATCTATCATGGGGGCAGCAGAACCAAGGATCCTTCTGAACTTGCCAAGTATGATGTGGTTCTGACAACATATTCGCTTGTTGCCAATGAAGTTCCTAAACAAGCTATTGCCGCTGATGATGAAATTGATGAAAGAACTGCAGAAAAATATGGATTATCTTCTGACTTTTTAACCAACATTAAGAGGAAGAAAACAACCAATGTCGCTAAGAATGGGAAAAAAGGTAGAAAGGGAATTGATGGCTCCCTTATTGATTCTAGCTCTGGTGCCCTTGCTAGGGTAAATTGGTTAAGGGTGATACTAGATGAAGCTCAAACAATAAAAAATCATCGAACACAAGTTGCTAGAGCCTGCTGTGGTCTTCGAGCCAAGCGGAGGTGGTGCTTATCTGGAACACCCATTCAAAATGCTATTGATGATTTATATAGCTACTTCAGGTTCCTGAAACATGAACCGTATGATGTGTATAAATCATTTTGCTTAGGGATAAAAGTTCCAATATCTAGAGATCATGTAAAAGGTTACAAGAAGCTGCAAGCTGTTTTGAAGATAGTTATGTTGCGCCGCACAAAAGGTATGTCTTCTTTTTTTTCTTGAATAAGTAAAAAAGGGTCCACTAACATTATTAGGAGGTGCGATTTTGGTATATTAGGGAAAAGTTTTCAGTTTGCCCATATAAACTCTAAACATACTCCATATATTCCAATTGTATTTGCAATTTGGGACCCCTAAATCCCTATTTTGTAGATCCATCCTTGGCATATAGAAAAGGTATAATAACTTTTGGGCATGAAAATCATCTGTAACTGTATTGCCTAATATAGGTTTTCTGTAGTTGAGTTTAAGCTTTTTATCATATTGCTGTTTTGGCTGATTTGATTAGTTTCAATCCAGCGACATTGATCGATGGGGAGCCAATAATCAAGTTGCCGCCAAAGTCAATTCACATGTCCAAAGTAGACTTCTCAGCTGATGAGCGGGCTTTCTATACCCAACTAGAAGCTGATTCACGTTCTCTATTTAAGGTGCCCCTTTCATTCTGCATATTTGTTCACATTTTCATGTGGCTTTTTTGAAACATGTGTGACTGCAGTGGTATACTATTTCAAACGGAATTATCCTTCTGTCTTTATTTGCAATTGGTGGTAGATTCCACATTTTGCATATTTCAAATCAAATCCTTCTTTTTGTTTACTTTCCGGGGAGGGAAGGTTTGAGTAATGTTTTGTTGCAATTAAAAGTTTGTGGTCTTATTGTGTGGAAAATGTTGCTACATGATTTAGACATGAGATTTAGGTGATGAAACCATCAGCTGTGAGGGATATAATGTTCCCTTTTCTTGGACCATCATTTGCCATTGTTTCTTGAACCACAAGAATAAATGAGGCTTTTGTGATCTTTGTGGAAAGTAACCTTTTGGGTAATTGCTGTAATTTTCTCCATTTGTTGCAGATTTGTAAGATGAACTAGAACTTGTCTCATGATAGTTGGACATGATTTTATTTTATCTGTGTTCATGTGTTTATATTGCACAAGAGTTATTCTGTTGATTTTTTTTTTGATAGAAAGTTGGCCTCATTAAAAAACCCCTTGAAACCCTCCATGTTATAACAGTAACATGAAGGATCTAGGTAGGGGGAAAAGAGTGCCAATAATTTTATTAGAAGAACAATAGAACAAAGACAGTCCCTACAAAGGCATACCCTTTACAGACTGCTAATACTCCAAACGAAATACATAAAACTTAATTCAAAACACCTAACAACACAGGAAAACAAATTCCTGAAACTCAACACAACCAACATAAAACAAGAAATCACCCTATCCCGTCTTTAGCTAATTTGTCAGCTTCCCAATTAGCCGCCCTCAAAATGTGCCAGATGATAATATCCTGTCCTTCCAATAGCGAGACTATCTCCTTAACCAAGGATTGAAACATAGGGGTGCATAAACCCGGATTCTTGATCCACTTCAGAGCATTACATGAATCTGATTCTAAAATAAACCTCTGATTAGGAACAACACCTAAGTCTTCCATAAGACAAAGTCCCCTCTTAATTGCCAATAACTCAGCCATGATAGGAGGACCACCCCCAACACTTTCAGAGAACCACTGAAGTAACACACCACAACTGTCCCTAATCAGACCACCAATACCCCCTTTACCCCATCCCGAAACCATCGCTCCATCAACATTTAACTTTAGGAACCCATCCGGGGGCGGAATCCAACATGTTGGTTGAGTACACGCCTTTCGCTGCCTTCTCATCGAATCAGCAAGTTTTAAATCACCTACTAGGGACTCTAAAGGGATAGGAACATCATTGAACCTTGCAACAAACCATGAGGCTATTCTAAATCGAACAATAAAGGACAATCTGACCACATCCAGCTTTTCTTTCTGAAAAATAACCTCATTTCTGCACTTCCATACAGACCACATCACCGCCCTTGGAATAAACTTCCATATCAAAGATTTCGGCATTAAATCATCCCACAAAATGATAAAATCAATAATAAGCTTTGGAATCACCAAGGACACATTCCATCTTTTCAAAAAAGAAGACCATAGACCCCATACAACCTCACAATGCAGAAATAAATGTGGAACTGATTCCACCTCCCGACCACACAATGGACATGAAGGATCTTCAATCTATGCCACACCTCTCTTCAATAATTCCTCTTTAACCGGCACTCTCTGATGAGCTGGCTGCCAAACAAAAGTTTCAATCCGAGGAGGTGCAATCCCTACCCAAATATTCCTCTCCCACAACTCCTGACTCTGCTCAATGCCAATATGATCAAAGAAAGAATTAATGCAAGATTTTTCTGAATAGCAGCCCTCACCATTCCCTGACCAGACCCAACAATCATCCACGTCAGGACATAAAGAGATATTGTTCAGCATGGAAACCAACAACAACCACTGTTCAAGTTCCCAATCTGCCAAACTTCTTCTCATTTGGATGTCCCACACCCAACCAGAGGCATTATTCACCCTAAAATCCATCACTTTACCCAATTTATTGATGGACAAAACATAAAGTCGAGGAAACAAATCTTTCAAGGGTACTCCTCCTAACCAAACATCATTCCAGAATTCCACATATTTCCCGTTCCCTGTCTTCAAACGCATATTCCCCCTAAGACAATCCCCAAAATCATCATTGGTAAAGAAATTTTTAACCACCCCTTTCCAAATCCACGGGGCCCGGGCTGAGCATGAATTCCCCATCATAATGGAATTCGGATCCAAATTGTAAACTGCACAATCCAACCTCTTCCACCAAGACTGCTTTTCTGATGCAAACTTCCAAACCCATTTCCCTAGTAAAGCTCTATTCAAGAATGATAAGTTCGGGATCCCTAGACCCCCCAAACTTTTTGGCTTGCTGACCGACTTCCAATTAATCCAGTGTATTTTTTTGCTATCTGCCGCACCCCCCCAAAGAAAAGAAGCCATGATAGAGATGAGTTTTTGAAGTACAGAAGTTGGAATTCTGAACATAGAAAGGAAATAAACTGGGAGAGAGCACAACACCGATTTAACCAACACCACCCTACCTGCCAAAGACAAGGAATTAGCCATCCAATTATTCTGTTGATTGCATGCATGAAATGTAATGGACTTTTCTTCCTTGTTAGCTAGAATCTTTTGTTCTATTTAGACTTCATGTGTTGTGGAATCTTGTATGGGAAAATACAATGCTAAATTTCAATGCTCACCCAACTGAATAGTACTCATTTTTGCTTTTTTTTTCTTCAGTTTTTTCTAGCTCCTTTTGTAATCCTTTTTGGGAAATTTGAGTTTTAGAACATCTTTCCACTAATATAATACTAGTAGTCTGGTTCAATTTGAAGAACGTACAAATCGCTCTACAATATATTTTTGCTATACAAAATCATAATTATTGCTAAGCTTGTAGAAATATAGTTGCTTGATATTACTCTTTACTGGGATTAGTTTTGTGATTTAAAGATTTACTTCCTGTAATTTCAAATTGTGCTTTTGCTGTCATTTACAAGCATTGTAATTCTGTTGGTGTTTTGCAAACATATCATTTACAGGACCTTATTCATAGTTCATTTACTCTAATTTAATGCTCATATCAGTCTGACTTCATGCTGTAAATATGGAATGTCATAAACTTCCCGTTAACTTCTTTTTGTTTCTGTGAGGAATGCGTCATGCTTTTTGCTATTCTCTATCATCTGATAGTTACACATCTTTTAATATATATTTCCTACAGCAATATGCAGCTGCGGGCACACTGCACCAAAATTATGCAAATATTCTTTTGATGCTTTTGCGCCTACGTCAGGCTTGTGATCATCCACTTCTTGTCAAAGGATTTAACTCTGATTCCATTCGGAACTCTGATTCCGTTCTAGACTCTGACCCCGTTGGGCAAGTTTCTGTAGAAATGGCAAAGACACTTCCTAGTGAACTGCTGCTTAATCTACTGAACTGCTTGGAAGCTTCCTTTGCCATCTGTCTTGTATGCCATGTAAGTTTTTCTTGAGTGTAATATTTTATCCAATTATGGATCTGTTTCACATCATCTGATTGTTCTTATAGTAGCAATGACTTATCTGCCCATCATATACCCAGGCTCCCTGTCATGATAACTTTTAATATTTTAAGACCAAAGATGATACAATTGCAATTCAATGTGTTCTGGAAAGGTTTTGTGTTCTAGAAGTGTTTTCCCCCTTCTTCGTACTCAATTATTACTTTTTTTTTCTTCATATTTTAGTCATATATGGTATAGGCGGTAGATGTGAAATATGTCTATTTCCAATTCTCAACAGTACCCAGCCATCGAGTTGAAAAAGTTTATCATTTTAAATGAATCTGTATAATTAATATGCTTAATGTTTTTACAGGATACACCTGATGACCCCGTTGTTACCATGTGCGGTCATGTTTTCTGCTACCAGTGTGTCTCAGAATATCTTACCGGCGATGATCATACGTGCCCTGCACCTGAATGTAAAGAACAACTTGCTGATGATATAGTTTTCTCTAAACCTACTCTTAGGAGCTGTCTTGCTGGTGAAAGTAATGGTAGTCCAACACATCCCCAGTCCTTTGAAAAGTCAGCGATTTTACAAAATGACTACAGTTCATCAAAAATCAAGGCCGTCATTGAGATTCTTCTGTCAAAATGTTTATTAAAGAATTCAATTCCTGAATCACCAAGTTCTATTGGAATCAGTGAAATTCCTTTTACTTCTGAACAGACATTTACAGAAACCGGTAATTCATGCGGTGGAGCTGTAAAGCGCACAACAGTTCATTTAGACTCTTTAGCTGATGGACCAATAAAAGCAATTGTTTTCTCACAATGGACTGGTATGTTGGACTTGGTTGAGCTCGCATTACGTCGTCATGGTATAAACTACAGGAGACTGGATGGAAAAATGACTCTTATTTCACGAGACCGAAATGTCAAAGATTTCAATTCTGACCCAGAGGTTTGCTCCTACCCCTTGCATTTAAGAAAATCCCCCAAGGCCGTTGGTTATTATTCCACGGACATGCATTCACATGTGCATTTATTCTGCCCACACTTGAATAGTCACTAAGAGCGTGCTTTGATTGTCTTACTTAAGTATATTGATGATGTAGAACATGATTAATTCTGTTTCTTTTCCCATCCATTGTGTTTCTTGCAGGTTACTGTGATGATCATGTCATTAAAAGCTGGAAACCTTGGTTTGAATATGGTTGCTGCTTGTCATGTTATCCTTCTGGACCTCTGGTGGAATCCAACCACTGAAGACCAGGCAATTGATCGAGCACATAGAATTGGTCAGACTCGTCCTGTTACTGTAACTCGGATCACCATTAAAGACACAGTGGAAGATCGAATATTATCTCTTCAGGTATTTTCTTACTTATAGATGTAAAAGTTATTTATGTAGTTAATTTGAATATTGGAGTTTTTTTTTTTTTAATTTATTTTTGGTTTTGGAAAGAGGGGGTGTATTTCATGGATCTACACCAGTAAAGGCCCTGAAATGATTAAAGGCCATATAGGATCTCCTCACCTGAAATTTCCACTTTTATTCATGGAAGCCAACTGCCTTAGCAACTTTGATTTGGAATGATGAATTATTAGTTCTTTCCGGTGGCCTTGATTTGGATGTCGTAACGACGGATTGGTGTATAACAGTGTTATAGTAATGACCTTATGGGTCTGTCTGGAAATTGCAAGACCAGACACGTGTAGTGTTTTAGCCATTGGAGATGAAAAGTTTGCATTGTTGGCACATTGGTGAAAAGATTTGTTGTCTAATATTTATCTTTATGTCTATGTAGGAAGAAAAAAGAAAAATGGTCGCGTCTGCTTTCGGTGAAGATCAAAGTGGGGGCACAGCGACTCGATTAACGGTGGAAGATCTCCGATATCTATTTATGGGAAATTAGCCCTCTCATTTCATTGATTACCTCTGCCATAAATGTTCCTACTTGAAGATCCCATCAAGAATGTTCGACATTTTAAAAATTTCGATCGGAACTGGGCATTGAACATATCTGCTGCGAGCTAAATGCTGTCATGTTTTGCGAATTTAAGATGCCGACTTATGCGATACTTTTTAAGTCGAGCCATTTTTTTGTCGAGAAAGTGCAGAAATAGGAAAGCTAGGATGTTTACAGATGTTCTAATTAGTTTTCAATCTACATCAAACTTTTGTGTAGTTAACCTCATTTTCTCTTAATGTTATAGATAAATGTTATTTCTAAACTGTGTTTGCTTGTCTCTAAGCTTTCCTTGTTTCACCTTCTGAAACCCTCCCACCTCCGAAGAAAGTAACGTAGACGTAATTTTGTTGGAGGTATCCTTTGTGACAAGGCTTCGGAGGAAGGCTGACTACGGAAAGCAAGGAGGCTTCAGCTTGGACTCACAATCAAGGTACATTTCCTTCTATCCGACTTCTTTTAAGTAGGTTGATCAGAGGAAGTGCCCTTGGTTTGTAGGGGAGGGTGGAGAAGAGAAAATGCAGGCTCCTTTTGAGGCTTTTTTTGTTGTTGGTAGAAACAAAACTTTATAAGGGTAGGCGTATAACCGGAACAAAAGAAGGGGTTGCAGATATTGAAATTCGGGTTCGGTATCTTATGGATACCATATGAACCAGAAATCAATCCGAATTAGTTGACCAAGGGATAGGATATCAGTGATTATATTAAAAAGATCGACGAACTCCTGAATTTTCAAGCTCCGGAGTTAGTGTAGATCATCGATTAGATAACTCGCCGCTCTCGACTTTTTTTTTTTATATATAACAATAATAATATCAATCGAGTTAATATGCTTTTTTGGGCTCCTCCCACTTGGAGTGTTTAAATTGCAATTGTATAACGCTAGCAATTAGAGTTAAGAATACCTTCCAATGCCATCTTGAATCTCATCACCATTTCTTGAAAGCTTCAAAAAGCAAATGAGAAACCAAAAGATGTAACAAACGGGTTGATTCAAGTGATATATTGCTTAAGAATATCTCGAGTTTGGATTCTTGTGAATGTAAAAGATTTTGTTGGGAGATTCACTCATCAGAATCAAGTTTATGATGTGAGTCCGTTCAAATTAATCAAGGCGAAGACTTCAAAACAGGATTGAGAAACCAAAAGATGCAGCAAAAGGTGGCTTTATAAAAGTGATTGCTTGAACATACTGGTGCATTAGGGCTAAAACAAGGGGGGCTACTGATGGCTTCACATGCCCACCGAAATTAATGGTGGCTCCCTCCTCTCATGATTTCAACACTATATAATACCCCTCTTCACAAAGCAAAAAAAAAAAAAAAAACACACGCCCAAAGGAATCTTCATACGTGAAAGATGGTCAAATAAAGGAAAATAAAGCTGGTGGGCAGCCAGCATTGCCTGCAGGCTCAACCAAATCTTCACCCAAAGCCAATCCATGTGTTAAATTATTAAAGTACCATTCCTTTAATTTTTATTAAAATAACGTAAAATTTTTTAATTCCTAAAATGACACATTTCTATCGTATAGGACGAATGCATGCCTATGTGATAGCGTCTTTGCTTACGAGGCTTACGTGGTAGTCTCAAGATTCATTGTTTAGAGAAATAACTAACGTGATCTGTCACATAAGCAAAGACGTTTTTCTAAGAAAGAATCTTTTAAAAGACGCTATCATACATGGGTGCCTTCATCTTGTATAGCATATTTTTTTAATATTATTTTAATAAAATTATAAAAAGATATTATTTTAATAAAATTATAAAAAGATATTATTTTAATAATTTAGTCCAAATCCATGAGTTGAATTCTTTTATGAAATCCAAAATCTCACATATTCGTATATTCATGTGTCTCATGGTACATCTTTGGATAAACCACATTAGTAGCCACTAAAGTTTTAAGGCGCTTTCGCTTTAGTCATTAAATTTTTAGAACTTCTAGGATAAAGTACATATTCATGTGTCCAATCCCATCTGAAAATGTGTCGTTTGTTGGCATGCATCAAACCTCATAGATCCTTACTTACTATATATATATATATATATATATATATATATATATATATATATATATATATATATATATTTATATTCGGTGTAAAATTAAAAGTTTTATACTTTTTTACTCTTTAATTATTTTTTCAATGAATATTTTTTCATTTCTTACTATTAATTTAAGCCTTTAATTTTCACTTTAAAAGATGTAATTTTTTTTAATTTTACACTATGTAATTAGGTCTCGAGTTTTTACCGAAATATCATCAAGACACGTAATAACTAATTGTCAGGCACCCTTTCTCTAAAATTTACCAATCTAATACCTTTTCTGACAAGACACAAATGACGTGGGGTTTCGTCCGAACTGGCACCACGTCATGAAAGGCGTGGATAATAATTATTTCATGTCATTACGTGGCGCCACCTCGCGTAATGACCATTCGCGCCTTTTGTGACAGTCATTACGTAATGAAAGACGTCTGTCATTACGTGACGTCAACTCGAACAAGGCACGGATGATCATCCGTGTATTTCATGATTTGGTGCCAGTTTGAATGAATTGTCAAAAAAAAATATTAGATCAATAAAATTTAAAAAAATATGTCTGACATGTAATTATTTCATGCCAGAGTGATTTTTTTTTGATAAAATTGCCTTAGGTCTCATATATTATATATATATATATTACAAAAAGGGTCATATTGGATCCTTTGATGTTCAAACAAAGGGTGCAAAAATCTTTCTCGTGATTCTCTTGACAGTCTGCAAATTTGACTCTTTCCCTCTTTTACCCAAAACTATAACCATATTCACATCATAGACCTTGCTCTTTCTTTATGAAAGAGACGAATTAAAAAGCTTATATTTCATGCTATACTATATATGGATAATGAACGCATAACATTTTAATAATTTTTATAAGACACTGGATTTTTATCATACAATAAATTAAGAATAACAACCCATTGACACAAAAACCCACCTACCAAAATTCACTATTTCTTCACATCATAAACTTATTAGCAGTCACTGGGACCAAACCCCACGTACCCATTGGCTCCGTCGAACGATATTTGGATCCCTTCTTGTTGGATGTTCCCTATTATCGAGAGATCCGAACCCGAAGAAGCGAATGCGAAACAGAACGTCCCCGTATCGTCGACGGGTATAAGAAAGTTGTTTGCGGGTAGGGTTAGTATCGGCCCGCTCGATAAATAAAAAGATACTGTCGGGATTCGAACCGTGACAAAACTCGATAAGTTATAACAAGTGTCGAATATGGATATTCCGGTGACTTGAGGAAGGTTAGCGGTTTGCTCTGTGAAAGCGTCGCGGAAGGTGTCGTAAGCAATGGCCGGGAACCTTGTCACGGCCGTGCCGGTGTCCATAACAACCCCGCCTAACCCTAATTCGGTGAGTTGGAAAATGTCTTCGGGTATGGGTACCCGAATGCCTCCGACTCCGAGACCCGAAAGCCCGATGTAGTAAAAGGTAGGGGCTTGTGGGTTACGTAGTAAAGGTACCCATGCAGCACCTACGGGCATTGCTTCACGCCCGAATACTAATGACCCGGATGAATTGGTGCCCCGACTTACTAGACAGTAACTAAATGCACCACCGGTTTGGCCACCCAATTGACCTACCAGCGACATGGATCCACCGCCGAGACCCAATAACCCGGCTGCACCGATGAACATGCCCCGGTTAACATGGCCGCACCCGATGGCCACGTTCTGAACCACGGTCGGACCAAAAGTGAGTGTCTCGAGAGCCAGGGTCCCTTTCGTGTACGACCCATCACCATACATAACTTCGTAACGACACCGACCGGCACGGCAACCCGAATTCTCGATCCGGTCACAAACGGAGGAGCTGCACGAGACGCCGCCGTAGGAGGCTGAAGCAGCCGGGTCGAAAACCGGGTCGGATTGTTTGTAGCATTGGTTACAAGGCTGACACTGGACCCAGACAATATCACTACCCGAATCAATAACCATATATTGGCTCCTCGGCGGGCTGCCGACGCCTATTCTCACGAAATACTCACCGCTTCCTTGGTCCATCCCTGAAACGATGTCCGATCCAAAATCGTTCACGCCGTCAGCCGCCTCATCGTAGTGGAATCCGCCGCCGGAGATGCGGAGGAGGAGGCTCGCCACCCTTTTCACGTCCCTTTGCATGCGTGCATGAAAACGGTGGCTATGGTTCAAGAAAACGGCGGCTTTATTCAAAGACAAGCAGTCCCTATGGACGAGTTTCAGTTTCCATTCCCCTTGATCATCACTTTCGGTAACGTTAACCAGTTCTTCGTGATAATATTCCGATGATCGTGACGTCCCGAAGAGAGCTTGTGTCACGTTCAAGAGTTGGTGGTCCGGGTGAGAAGTGGTGGTGGAGACTGCGGAGGTGGTTATAATCAGGTGTAGCAGCGCAGCCAGAGCAAGTTGCAGCGGTGGAAGAGCTAACATATTGTTGAAGGATTTGCCTTTCTGGTGGATTTGAGGGGTAAATTAGGAGTTATTGGCGTTGCCGGGATTTAGGCATGGGGATGCGTGGAAGGAGCAGACATGTAGGGTTATGGAAATAATTGAATGAAGTTTTTGGTGTTGAAGTGATCGAGGTGAGTGGGAAAAATCTATCTACAATGCGGTCCCTCTGGTTTCCAGACTTTCTTTTTCATCATTTTCCTTTTTCGCTTTTACCAGTGTGTAATGTTGACCCAAGGTTAGGGGTGATGACAATATATATTAAGAATTTGTAAATCTATGGGGTAGAAATTAAGGATTTTATAAATTAAGAATTAGGGTTTTAAAGGGTTAGATATTTGAATATTAGGGTGTGTTTGGTTGGAGGAATGTGAGATTACGAAATGGAATCTACATTTCCCCGTTTGGTTAGTCGGGAATGTTATTCCCGATAATCTTACATTTCTAATAGTGGATTTTTTGGGGTATATTACCGGGAATATCATTATCTCTATTTCTTTAGGTATTGTTAGATTACCAATATTTTGAACTAAAATGCCCTTAAATTTTTCTTTCTTCAAAAATATCATTATTCTGTCATTGAATAATAAAAATTCTACGAAGGTTAAATTACAAATTTATCCTTAAACTATTTTAGATTTACAAAAAAAAAATCTATAATTAAAATTTTATATGAAGTTCAGATGTTAAAATAAAATTTTACCCTTTCATTAAACCTTTTTATATTTTCAATTTTGTAAAAAATTATATAAATTTTATGAATTTAAATTTTTTAAAGAAAATATATAAATATTTTTCAACTTGTTAAAAAATAAATATATAATAAGGACAATTTGATCAAATATACATTATGATAATCTTTTATTCCTTTAACCAAATACGGTAATCTTACATTCCTCTAAACCAACCAAACACAAAATACAACATTCTCAGTAATCTTATTCCCTGGTAATCTTTTATTCCAACTGGTAATCTTACATTTCGTGAACCAAACACACTCTTAGAGATTTTAAAGATTTAGGGTATTAGGATGACAGTAAGGATGAATCATTAGATAGGTAGGGACGAGTGAGTGGTTGTTCGATGATGATAATAGTGGTTAGAGATAACCGACGACGATTAATAATGGAGTTAGATTAAGAGATTTTAGTTTTAAAAAAATTACTTTAGAAATTTTGAGTTTTCTTAAAAAAAAAAATCTTTTTAAAAATAAAAATATTCAGAATAATCAAATATGTATCACTTAACGGAGTTTTTTAACGATGGTTAACATCCAGATACTTAAAAATATAACGTCAAAATGTTAAACACTTGCGAAAAATCCTTTAAGTACCAAAAATTGATTTGAGATATAATCTAAACACTTAAAACCTATTAAACCTTAATATATATAGGGATGGGCATTGGTCGGATTGGGTCGGGTTTTTAGTCCACCCGACCAGACCCGATAAGGAGGGGACCTCCACTCGTGACCCGACCCGACAAAATTAATTTTACATCCGACTCGACCCGATTCGAAATAATAAAAAAATTATTTTTATTCAATAAAAATAGTGACTAAATTGAAAAAAAATAATATATAGAGGTGTATTATTGTAATTATTCCTAAATATATATGGTAAAATTATATATTTTTTTCGGGTCGGGTCGAATTTTTTTCACCCTAAACCCGACCCGAACACCACATAAAAAATCCAACCCGAATCCGATTTTTTTTAAAGAAAAATCCAACCCGATTAGGTCGGGTCGGGTCGGATTCGGGTTAGATGCCATCCCTAAATATATATACACACAGAAGGATACATCGAAAATAATGTGCAAGGAAACGAAGAACATTGGCGACATTGTTGATAGCTAAAATTGTCCTTTTATGTACAGAAATGACCGGAAAAGGTGGAATAATGTCGTCTTCTTCATCATCTTTACACAAGCCCAATGTTAAACTCAAGATAGACAGTTGTTTTTCCTTTTTGAAAAAAAAAATTGAACCTTTTGCCAAAGACGAGCGTAAGAAAGGAATTATATTAAAATTTTAAAGAAATAAAATTTTAGATGCAAAATAAGATAATTAATAAAATATATATATAAAATGTAAGAGAATTTAAAATTTATGGAGAGTACGATGGTACGTAACATCCATGCTTCTTGTTAATTATTATTAATTTAATTAAAACAAGAGAATATTTGAGTTGAATTTCAAATCTGGATAAATTCATTTATGCAGGGTCCCTTAAGTAAGGTCAGGGGTTCGAATCCTGACGTTTTTCAATGGAGTAAATTGGATTGAGAGGGTCGTCATTGCCTATACAGTATCCGATCTGAATTAATTAGTTAATAGATCAGATATCATTTGATTAATTATAAAAAAATTGCTCGAAAGTAGATCACATAGAACCAACTGTTTGTGTTCTAATTACTATTAAATTGGACTTCCCGAAAAGAAAGCCAAAAGTTTCTCTTTGAGCTGCCACAAATTGCCTATTTTTTATTATTCAAAGCTAATTAATCAATAGAATTTAGGTGAAAATATCCGAATAGTGGTTGCTTTGATTATAATTCATCTTTAATTCGAAAATAAGTGCCAAAAGATGTCATTTTTTCTGAATAAGTGCCTAAATTATTTTTTATTTATTTAGGTGTTTAATGTTACAAACGTTATTATTTTAAGTATTTCGATCGAAATGATTGTTATAAAACTCTATAAAATGACACGTGTTACAATATTAGAATTTTAAAATTGATTTTTTAAAAGTAAAAATATTATTAAAAAAACCCAAACCTTTCCCCTCCCCTGCTCCCTCCTTTTATGGCCAAATGATTAATGGTTAAACGAATGATTAAACGACCTATGAAATGGTTGATTGATATAGTCGACGAAAGAATTGATTATCACGATCGAATTTGAATGATTAAATATTTGAGATTTTAAGGATTAAAAATTTAAATTTAGAATTTGAGAATTTTTGGTTTTGAGATGATAGTAAAGGTTGTAATCAGTCATTGGGTGGTTGACGACGAATGAGTGGTTGGAGATGACCGTTAGTTGAAGTAAATTGGACTAGAATAAAAGATTTTAAGAATTTGAGGGTTTTTTATTTTAGAAAAAAAATTAAGATTTTTTTGGAAATAATTTTTTTATTTTTTTAAAAAATAAAAATTTCTAAAATTATCATATCATGATATGTGTCACTTAACAGGGAAATTAAAGCCGTTGACGGCCCATACACCTAAAATGATAACGTTAGTAACGTTAAACACCGACACGAGTAAAAAAAAAAACTAGTTCGGCATCTATTCGAGAAAAAGAGTATAATTTAGACACTTATTTTGATATTGAGCCTTATTTTAATTCTATGAATACAAATAGGAAATCACCATACGTCTTATTTATTTATTTTAAATAATAAAAACATATTTGATATTTTTTTCTTTATTTTTTCTGGTAAAAGTATTTGATAGTTTTTTTTAATCCAAAGTTAAAAAACTCCATCACAATAATTATTAATTTATTTGCCGTGAATGCTATTCGATCCACAGATTAAATATTTAACTTATTTTCTATAATTTTATTTTTAAAAAACAATATAAAATATGCTTAATTATTGCACATGGGATTCTTGGATTCTACTGTGACAATGACTTCCCTGCACCCAGTCCCTTCCTCAAAGTCAATACATCTGCAGTTCTCTTAACAACTAAGAGGGAGTAGGACAAGGCTATGAAATGTGTTTTTTTCTAGATCGGTCTTAATCCATCGTCGTGTACACACATGCATTGATGCATCCTTCATGGTCACTAGGCGCTAGCAGTAATTGGATTACCTAACCTTGTACTATTGTAGGTCAAACGAAATCAAGTCCTAAGACCCCCATCATCATCATCAAGACATGATCATAAAGTCAAACTAGCAAGATCCCTTCAAGAAAATTATAGGCAAACAAGGACAGCAATCAGCATGTTCCGGGATCCGAATTCTAAACTCGCTAAGAACGAACTTGAAAGTGAATACAAATCAACTCAACCGAAAGAAATAAGTTTTCCCCGTGTATACCTGGATCCTCGTAGCAAGCATGTTTAAAGTTAGTCCAGGTAATTCAAATATTATTAACGAACACGATATTAACGAAGATTGAGTTCCAGTAGCAGATAGATTGCAGGTCATATATCAGGTATCTAAGCTTCGTGAAGTATGTAAACATAGAGTCACGTACATAAAAAATGAATACAGCAGATGAGTTCATTTTCTGAAACAGCAATCTTACACCACCAGCAGTGCTAAGATCAAAATTTTACTTGGTTTAGCATTGTTCTTAGTTAAACAAATAGCTTCCATCGTTGTGCAGCATGGTATGGTAAAAGTGAAATGACTTGTCAATTAATTCAAGTGAGGAATCTCAATGGAGCCAGAGATACAGGTACAAACATAGAGCCATAAAATCAGTTGTGAAGCTTCAACAGAATCCGTTCGTACCTCAAAGGGATCATCGCATTACAGACTCTTTTACATAGGATCTGCCGCCTGAACTGCAAGAGTTAAGATCACAAAGTTGATGAAACATATATAGATACCTGACAGAAGCTACTGTATAGGCAAGAAATGTATTGTCGTTGCTTACGAGTACTCCAGATGAATATTCATAAATCGGCGGTTTTCTTTGCTTTGAGATAGCATTAGAGAGCCTTCAATAACTTGATCTTGCTCCACGTCTATTGGGTCATAAAAGTATATCAATGTCTGCAAAATTCACATCCCAAACATTATGGGTCTATTATGGAATACAACCAGAAAAGCTCCATGCAAGTTGTCAAATGTAAGCATGACCAGAGTTCATCATGGTTAGAAGTAGTCAAATTTTGCGTACAGATGTGTTCTGGATGCAAGGTTTTTTTTTTTATGCTCAAATCAATAGTATAGGTCTTAATAAACTCAAAGAATTTTGTGTACGGATGTGTTTCTGGATGCAAAGTCAGCATGTCCAAACTAAAACTTAGTATGGTACCTGTTGCCAATGTGTTGGAGGATCCTCGGGTGCCGTTGAGAGTACAAGTGCTTCATTGGGATTGGCTCGTTTCTTCTTCTGGATACCGTCCACATGATTATTATTAGATGTGCCAGTAAGCAAGGGTGGGATGGGATTATTTGTAGGAGAATTTGTCGGTCCACTGAACTCAACATCAAACCAAAACGCAAATCCATGTAGCGGAGCTGGGAATCAAGGAAGTGTGAATACTGTGCTTAAAAATGAATACACACTGAGAAAATGTGCTGGACCAACTGTGTAAGTTAAAAATAGTAACACGAAACAAAGCCCTATACAATATTATATACATGGTATGAAACAAGGTTAAACTGAGAACTATTAAAGACTCTTCAAGAAGAGAAGATAAACCGGTTACATGATTACATCACTGCATGACATCTCGATTTTTATGGTTATCTAGACACAGGATATGGAGACGGCATATATACAAAGCATTTGCAAGGATCCAATAGGAGAGCTCACCTCGCATCATTGATTGGAACTTATATCTTGTTGACACAGATTCTAGCTCATCATGTTGGATGGTATAGCAATCCACCTGCTTAACCTGTTAATGCTAAAAAACTTTAATGCCTTTTGCTATGCGATTTCTATAAATATGTAAAATAAAATAGATCGTGTAAAGAACTTATGATTTTGGCATATGACCTGGACACGTTGCTGGTAAAGAGAATGTCTCATGCAACAGTCACATGGCAATAATGAGGGAATCGTAATGAGGTTACAAAAATGGTATGATTAACAGAAAACAAATTTCAGTTTTTTCCAAGTTGAAATCAATTTGGGAGATTGAGGCGAACTAAAGCAAAAAAAATTAGAACACTCACCACATGTGGCCATGTCAAAACATTCTCCCCTGTTATTGTCTCTACACATGGCTCTTCAAACGCACATTGTTTTGCTAACTGCAACATTGCAGACACTGCAAAAGAAAAAGGCATTGAATTGCCCATTCAAATACGGTCAAAACATAAAACAAGATACAAGTAAAAAGCACTAGAGCTGCAATTTCTAAGCAGTGTAGTAAAATTTAATCACATGTACGCATGGAATAGAAGAAAATTCTAATTTAGCATCACTCACTATCAATTCCATAGACATTGCGCCAAAATTCAATGCTGTCATTGTATCTGTCAGGATGCGTGATGGGTGCCATGTATAACTGCAAGGATTAAAGAATGAAAAGGAACAGTAAATAAACAGGTTTTCATTAAAAGAATACCTGAATCTGCAATAAAATAAAACTTCGTTCAAGACACGAATGTTAGAAAAGTGGAAAAAAACAACAAAGTTTTATTACAGCCAGGCTCAGCTAGTGAAACAAAGTTACATAGACTAGTTTCGAGCAAAAAATAAAACCGTTGCATTGGAAGGAAGAATAAGGCCTCCATGTTTTAGCCACCGATCCCTAGCAGTGATAACACTTCCCAGCATACTCTGGAAAAAAAAGGTGATGGATGGTCACGATGACGATGCAAGGAAAATAAAAAAGAACAGAAGGATATAGAATCAATTGTCTGAATAAAATCATGCTCTCATCTTAACCTGAAAGAGTTTCTGGAAATATCTAAAAAAGTTTAGGATAATACAATCACCTCATATAGAAGCATGTAGCCCATCCATTCTGAAATTATTACATCAACCTCCTCGTCAATTTCAACATCCTGTAGAAATTATAAATATTAAAGTATAAATTTTCTGCCACTCAGAAGGAAAAAAATTGGTTCAAGGAAAGTAAATGTTCCTCAGAACAATGCGAAGCATGTAAACCCCAGTTTATTGCCAGATATAGATCCCACATAGCGGAAATATCAAGTTATCACTGTTCAATAGTTAATACATTAAGCGACACACTAGTAAGCCGAATGCAAGCAACAATATGATGGGCCAATGTCCTATAGGGAAAGCTTCACCCTTATTATCCTATTACCACCGTAAACTGTGAATGGAACTGTGGCGTGAGTAAATAGAATGAATATTCATAATTGCTACCATAATTGCAGAGTTGGCTGGCACTAAGAGCATTCAAAAGGTGCTCTCACAATCACTTCATAAAAGATCCAACAATCAGATAGTATAAAAACTTCCCTCATCTATAATAAAATTTGAAGACCAACAGAGATGCAAAGTCTTAAAATGGCCCGCAAGAGCAAAGCACTGCATAAAGGTCCACATCCTTTTTCCATGCAGAAAGAAATAATTCCAACTTAATTTTAAGCTGCAGCTAGTGGTTTCCTTGACTGTGGGATGTAGAAGAGTCATTTATAATCATGCAAACGAAGTTGAAAAACAGTCTTTGCAATTCCATGAATAAATATGTGATTCTCGATAACTTCAAAAAGTTAAAGAAACAAATAAATCTGACACTAACTTCGATTACTGGTTGTTAAAGAAATATATATCATATCAATGTCCAGATTACGTTGGGACTGGGGAGTTCAATCCTGGACCTTGCATTGTATATATTTTGTATAAAGAATACTGTAAGTGAAAGGGGTGGCAGATGCTAGTATTCAAACTCCAGACCTAGATGCCTCCATAACAGATAGAAACATGAACCAACAGAGAGCTCCAGGTTCCCGGGTGTTAATATATATGGATTCTTGTCCTTTTACCAAATATGTAAACATATTAAACCCATTAAAACATAAAAATGGATTTCTGGCAAACACGTAAGCAGCATACTCATCAATAAGCCTGAGAGGAAAAGCCTACCTCAACTCGTCCATGCAAAACTATGACCTTTCCAGCTAAGTTATTTGCTTTGACAACTTCATTTGCCTGCTTGCAAACAGCAAAGATTAATACACACCCAATAGCCAGTTTCATTTCCAATACAAAGGTCTAGAGAATTTTGGAACAATATATTTCCATGCTGTTGATAGATAAGTAGCCTTCATACTCTAATTGCTGTGGTAACCAGATCTCATTATCTCATTGTTGTGAATAAAAAAAGAGAGAAAATAATAACGTAGATGAAAAGAGGAAAAAGTGCTCAATCTGCACTATCAAGACAGACTGTTAAATGACTCGGTAAGCAGCAGTTAAGAACTCCTGAAGTACCTGCAATGCAATATCACTTGCATCCACTGCATACACCTGAGAATACAACAGTTGTATCTCACATTAGATACTAAACAGTTGTATCTTAAATGAATCCATCAACATTAACAGCAAGAATACAACTTTGAAGTAGCAAGACATTTTTAACTTCTAAAAAGTATAATAAAGAACAAAATTGAAGTTTTGTACTTCTCTTCGTCAATTGTCCAACACAATCCTATTGTCTTTTCTAAAGATAAAGTTATAAAATTCACATGGAAAACTAGTTAGAGAAAAACTAGAGGAAATAAAAAAAATTAAACTAGAGAAAACCTGCAATTATTAAATGTTAGAATTCCTAAGATTAAGGACAGAATACTCACCTTGGTCCTAGGAGTTACCTTGTATAGTAGGATCTAATATTAGTCTCTAATTTTAAGGAAGTTACTGATTTTTAGGGATTGTTTCCTTATTTGTACTTTGTTGTCCTTATAACGGCTGTAAATTAATTAATAAAAAGTAACAATCTTCTTTTTAAGTTTGTTCATGGCATCAGAGCTTTAAGCATTTTTGATCCTGTCATCTCTAATCTCTCGTCCCAAACGTCCCTCCTCTTTAATCTCTCTTGCCTCCTGTTTTATTCCTTCCCATGGGTGACACAGTCGAAACTTTATCTGAGACTGAAACCACACAAATGATTCCAAATATCAATCAAGGAACCCCTCAAGGGGACCTTAATTCCTCTCTTATAATCACTAACCATCGACTACATGGGAAAAATTTCCTGCAGTGCTCCCTATCAGCCATTATGGTGATTCGTGGTCGTGGCAAACTAGGATATATCAATGGATACATCCCACGACCAGCCACAACAGACCCAACTTATGGCACTTGGGAACTCAACAACTCAATTGTAATGGCTTGGTTAATTAATTCAATGGAAGGCCATATTAGTCGCACCTACCTCTTCTTCAAAACGACAAAAGATACGTGGGATGCAATCAAAGAAAACAACTCGGATCTTGGAAATGCCTCCCAAGTATTTGAGATCAAACTGAAGTTGAAGGACATCCGACAAGGAACACTTGAAGTAACTCACTACTACAATAATCTTAAAATTTTGTGGCAGGAACTGGACATGTACTATGAGGCAGACTTGGGAGAAGGTGTGGAACACACCAAGTTTATGACTCACCTCAACAATGAACGTCTCTATGAGTTTCTAGCAGGACTGAACCAAGAGCTAGATGAGGTCCGTGGTCGAATTCTGAGTAGAACCCCCTGCCAACCATTGGTGAAGCATTTGCAGAAGTTAGAAGAGCAGAGAAGAGAAGCGTCGACTTGTCATGATGGGTGATTCAAAGGAACCTAAACTTGTGACAACTGTTGGTTACCGTCCCACTGAAAACTCATCCCTTATCTCCAGAGGCCCACAACACAAAGGCCCCGTGCTGGAAATGATTCGAGCTCAACCAGGCCATGGTGTAGCCACTGCAACCATGTAGGACATACCAAGGAAAAATGCTTCAAACTCCATGGCTATTCTGGAAAAAAATCAGAAGGACATTAAGGTTGCACTAGTGTCCTCTAACACCTCCACTGCTGCAGATGAAGCTCTCGATGTTCGCCTAACCAAAACTCAACTTGAGACCCTCCATAGGATACTTGATACTTTTACTGCTCATGGATCCCTAGCCACTTAAGGTATTGCCCTCAACATTGCTTTTGAACCTAACAACCAATCCTCTTGGATACTCAATTTGGGTGCCTCCGATCACATGACAAGTAACTCCACCTTGTTTCAAACCTACAAACCCTGTCATAATCAATCCCGAATCCGCATTGCTGATGGCTCTTACTCACTTGTGGCTGGAGTTGGAAAAATACAATTAACAAAGAATTTTTCTCTTGATGAAGTCCTACATGTCCCAAACCTGTCCTGCAATTTGCTTTCAATCAGTAAACTAAGGATGAAAGTGTTCTTGCTGAATTTTCTGCAACTGGTTGTGTGGTACAGGAATAGAAATCGGGGAGGATGATTGGCACTGCTAAAGTTGATGATGGTCTTTATGTTTGGAATAAAGACAGTGGGCAAGAAGGGTTGGCTCTATCTACTTTGAAAGAGGACACAATCATGTTATGGCACCGTAGACTAGGGCATCCAAACTTCTTGTACTTGAAGAAACACATTCCACTGTTATTTCGAAATAAAAATATTAATTCCTCGAAGTGTGAAATCTGCCAATTGTCCAAACACACCCATGTACCATACCCATTAAAACCCTATAACCAGTCCCAACCATTCTCTTTAATTCATAGTGACTTATGGGGAGAGCCAGCCGAGTAAAAAATATTACAGAAGCTAGGTGGTACATAACTTTCATTGATGACCACACTAGGGTTTGTTGGGTCTACCTTCCCAAAGAAAAATCAGAAAAACCTAAAGTTTTCCAAAACTTTCATTCAATGATTTGAACCTAGTTTAACTCTACCATACATACTCTCCGCAATGACAATAGGAGAGAATATTTTAATTCTATCCTAAGTCCTTATCTTGTTGACCAAGGCATCATACACCAAAGTTCTTGTCCTGACACCCTTCAACAAAAGGGGATCTCCGAAGGAAAAATCGTCATCTCCTTGTTGTGGCTCGAGCACTAATGTTCACCATGGGTGTCCCAAAATACTTGTGGGAGAAGCTGTCCTCACAGCATGCTATCTCATAAACCGACTACCATCAAAGGTTCTAAACTTCCAAACACCTATAACTATCCTTCAAAAGGCTTTTCCCTTATTTCGTGTTCCCAATCTCCCAACCAAAAGCTTTGCATAAAATCTTCGGTTGCAAAGCTTTTGTCCACAATCACCAACCAAATCAATCCAAACTTGATCCTCGAGCCCGCACTTGTGCTTTCATTGGCTATTCTCCAACACAAAAAGGCTATAAGTGTTATTCACCTACCTTAAGCCGAATGTTTATCTCTCGGGATGTCACCTTTTTTGAGAATGAACCATACTTTGCATCAACTCATCTTCAAGGGGAGACTTTCAATGAAGATGAGACTCTTAACACCCTCCTCATTATACCTCATGATCCTACCACCACTATCACCAACAAGCCTACAAATCAGGGTGTCATTGTAGTTCCAGATTTAGAAACTGGTTCCCCTATACAACAAGAAATAAGCACGATCAATGAGTAATAACCACCCGATCCAAAGAGACAACAAGAACAAGCTCCAGAACTGCGAAATTATTCTCAACGACAACATTCTCCTGAAACTGAGACAGCAGTGCCAATTTCATCCTCAATCGATGACTTTACTGAAACATAAGTCTCACCTCTATCACCATCCATCTATCTTCCAATTGCAGTTCGAAAGGGCAAAAGAAGTTGCACTCAACACCTTATTTCCCGGCTTGTGTCTTATGGAAACTTATTTAAGTCTTATAAAGCTTTTGTGTCTAATGTTTATTCTGTAGAAACACCAAAAATTATAGAAGAGGCTCTTGAATCTGCTGTGTGAAGGAAAGTTGCGATGGAAGAAATGAGGGCTTTCAAGGCAAATGAAACTTGGGAAGTCTCGAATCTACCTAGTGGGAAGAAGACAATAGGATGCAAATGGATCTTCACTACAAAGTTTAAACCAGATGGCAGTATTGACCGACACAAGGCTCGGCTCGTTGCTAAGGGTTTCACCCAAACCTATGGCCTAGACTACGACGTGACGTTCGCACTAGTTGCCAAGCTAAACACCATTCGAGTTCTTCTATCCCTAGCTGTCAACATGGACTGGCCTTTGACTCAATTGGATGTAAAAAATGCATTCCTCAATGGAGAGTTAAATGAGGAAGTATACATGGATTTCCCACCCGGGTTTGAAGAAAGCAAGGTTCAAGTATGCAAGTTGAAGAAGTCCTTATATGGGCTAAAGCAGTCTCCAAGGGCGTGGTTCAGCCGATTTGCCAAAGCTATGATCAGTAGGAGCTACACCCAGGGGCAGGCAGACCATACCATGTTTTACAAGCATTCAAAAGGTGGAAAATGCTAATCCTCATTGTTTATGTGGATGACATAATATTAATAGGGGATAATTCAAGCGAAATTGAAAGTCTAAAAGAATTTTCGCGCTGAATTTGAACTTAAGGACTTGGGGAACCTTAAGTACTTCCTTGGAACAGAAGTAGCAAGGTCTAAAACATGTATTTCCATCTCCCAAAGAAAGTATATTATTGATCTATTATCTGAAGTTGGGTGTTGGGGTGTAAACCAACCAAAACTCCTATGGAATTTAATCTTAAATTGGGAACTGATAGAGATGGAGAAGAAATCAACAGTGGGAGATATCAATGACTGGTAGGAAGACTCATCTACCTATTTCACACCCGTCCAGACATAAACTTTGTGCATGCCCCAAGAGAGAAGCTTCTGGAAACTGCTTACAGGATTTAAGTATCTAAAGGGGACCCCTGGTAAAGGCCTACACTTCAAGAAAACTGCCAACCGAAGTGTGGAAATTTACACTGACGCAGACTGGGCAGGGTCTGTTAATGACAGACGTTCTACAAGTGGTTACTGTAGCTATGTGTGGGCAATCTTGTGACGTGGAGAAGCAAAAAGCAGTTTGTTGTAGCACGCAACAGCACAAAGGCAGAGTATCGAGCACTATCACATGGCATATGCGAAGGAATCTGGATACAGCGACTAATGGGAGAACTAAAAGTGCTCTACACTAGACCTATAAAGATGTATTGTGACAACCAAGCAACTGTCAGCATAGCTCATAACCCTGTTCCCCACGATTGCACCAAACATGTAGAAATAGATCTCCACTTCATCAAGGAAAGAATCAACTCAGGAGAAGCGTGCATCACCTACGTACCTACCAGATAACAAGTTGCAGACTTGCTAACTAAAAGCTTGAGCAGAAACATATTCGAGGAGCTCATCGGCAAGTTGGGTTTGATAAATATCTACACTCCATCTTGAGGGGAGTGTTAAAATTCCTAAGATTAAGGCCAGAATACTTACCTTAGTCCTAGGAGTTACCTTGTATAGTAGGATCTAATCTGAGTCTCTAATTCTTAGGAAGTTACTGATTTTTAGGTATTGTTTCCTTATTTGTACTTAGTTCTCCTTACAAATACTGTAAATTAATCAATAAAAAGTAACAATCTTCTTTTTAAGTTTGTTCATTAAAGAAAGTAGTCTTCAGAAATTAGTTGAAATCAGTACATCATGGCATGCAGAAAATTAGATTTTCAAATAAACTCTGGTATACAACAATTATAACTTTATAAGCATGTAAATTTTCAAGTATAGAAATGCTTTTCAAGACATATTACCCGTTTTGCACCAGCTCGAGCACAAAAAATTGAAAGAATGCCTGTGCCACATCCAACATCCATTACGACCTGTTAACATTATCACAAGCAATAGTAAGGAAAACAAGAATGAACTAGCTAAAAATTGTTTGAACTTTCGAATTTTTATAAGAAACAAATGCCTTTTGCCCAGGTATTAGATTATAGCAGGTGCATTATACTGTTGCGATTGGATGAAATGGGAATGGAATGCATACACAATTACAGAACCATCCTGATATTATTAGATTTTGAGCAAGAAAAGCAATCATAAATAATTTTATAACTGAGATGACCACAATAGTATTACCTTGCCTTCGATAAAACTCTGGTGTTCCATGATTGCAGCCCTGTATGTGTCAGTTCGAACTCTATCCTGTATGTTTCAGATAAAAAAGTATGATCAGCGAAGTGTCATGTTTTTTTATTATTGTTTAAAAAAGGCAGAAGGTAATCCAAATTTGCAACTTATAGTCTGACACAGGCTCAAAACTTTGTCAAAATTGCACAACTTTATAAAAGTGCCAATAAACATATAATTTTAAAAACTTCCCTGAAACAGCAAACTATAATTTAAAGAACCCACCATTAGAGAGAGCTCAAGTCATGAAATATTCAATCACCAAATAAAGCCTAAGTTCACAAAATTGCCAGCATTGTAAACTTTTGGACACAAAAGCCAAATTCAGCCTCGATAAAGAGAAGAAAATGAAAAATATAAAGAGAATAAACACACACACACTCACAAATTTGAATTCCCAGGCAAATGCACTCACTCAGAGTCACCACCTTGGCAACCCCTAGCTCACATTGCGATAAATCACGAATATTTCTTCAATTATTTTTAGTAAATTTCTTCAAGGACACTTAAAACCTCTAAAAAACACAAAAACCCAAAGAGCTCAAAGTAAAGGAAAACTCACCCAAGTTCTCGAATATCAAAAAATAAAATAAACCCAGTTATTAACAAAATAACAAAAGAAAAAGGAGGAAATACCTTGATCATTTCTTCATGGATGCCAACGTGGGCGTAAGAGTGAAAGTAGGCCATGTCGAAGTCCGTGCACGGAGGAGGTGATTTCTGTTCTTGCGTTTCGTCGTTGTTGTAGTGCTGCTGGTGATGGTCGTCGGAAACCCCAAATCCATGACGGTGGCGTGATCTACGGCCTCCCCTCCTCCGTCGACCCCCGCCCCGTTTCTCTTCCGAACTGTGCTGCTGCTGTTGATTTTGGTGGTACCCATTACTGTAACCTGTGATTCCGTACATTTCCGTAGTTTATTTTTGGCTCTTGATTCCTGGGTGGGTAATAAAATGGGCAATTCGCCGGTACTGTTTGAGAAGGTATACAACGGCAGCTTGTTTATTGTAAGTTTTGTCGAAAACCCAAATGGAGACGATGACCACTTTTTTTTTACGGACGGACTAAATGAAATGAAATCAGGGTTAATAATTAGGGTAAAATATGAAAATAGACCCTTAATTATAATAAATCTTTTTCGAGTCCTCTAATTATACAAAAAGTATATAATAATCATCATATGGAAAAATAATCATCATACGGTGGCTAATAAAATTTACATATTAATATTTTGTGTGAGAAAGCGATGGTCTTAGACGGTTCATCTTCTTTAGATTAAGTTTAGAGTTGTAATTGATACAGGTTGGTCCTAAAAATATGTAGAGGTTTTGTGTTATTTTTTTGAAACGAGGTTTTTAAAATATTTTATAATATGATAAAATTATAAAATATTAAAATTGACTACGTTTATTTCTTATAAAATAAAAAAATCCAAACATATGAAATTAAGATAATGTCACAAAATAACTCTATAATTGTTTATTTTAAAAAATGTCATTATTCGAACTCTCTTAAAAGTAAGATCGTCATTTTTTCCCTAAAGTATAGAGTTAAATTTTTAAGACTATGCGACGTATCACTTGCCACACCTATAATAGACGAACCCAAGTTGATGATATAATAAAATAAAGGGAAAAGATTGGAGATGACAATAATCAGTAAGTATGGGATTAAGAATAAACCTTATGATTGATGACACCAAACAAAGTGATTTGTGTGAATCTTAGGGTTAATAGAACTAGGCAATAGAGTGATTGTCTGTCCAGCTCAGTTGGTAGAACGCAAGGCTATTAACCTTGTAGTCGTGGGATCGAGTCCCACAGTGAGCAATTCATAATTCTGACTGCCGGAGGTTTTCTACGGAAGCTGCTTTCAACCTGGTGTTGGAGGGGCAGTCTACTACCTTACCTCCCCTCACCCTATATTACATATGGAAATAGGATCATCTAATTTTTTTGTTAAGTGGATAGATTCGATTGTCAGATTATAGATTTAGCAAGTGATGAAATTGATAACATGCATGCCAATATATTTAACCAAGCGGAAGAAATAACGGGTTATCTCTGGGTGAGTCATGGGATATTCACATTTTGAGTGGTTGATAGGTTTTTCAACAGTCGTATTGTATTATATGTTCAAACCAAAACCTAATGGATACAAAATTTAAAACTCAAGTTCTAACCACGGTTATAGGCGTATAAAATAAGCATTTATTCTAAATATTCTCAACCATTTACTAATAAACGCATAATCATTCTATTGCAGTCAGTGATTTCCAAATCTGTGACCTCTAGGAAGGACAATAGTTTATTTAACCACTGAACTAAGTTGGTTCGTATTAGTGTTAGTAATTTTTTATATAATCGTTTGTATATAATCTATTGATTAACTAATCCGATATAAAGTCCGCTCTATTAATAATAAACAATTAAATAACTATTAAGAATTGTATAGAAAAGAAAGAAATTGATGAACATTTAACGCATATCATGATCATGTTTCTCCACTTAAATTTATTCGTACTTAATCAATGATTTAGCTGCCTCAGTACAAGAAGCTTCAATTTGTCATTTGGTTGTAGGTAATATCGCTGTAATGTTGCAGATGGAAGACTTGTGCAGCACATTGGAAAAAGGAAACGAGGATGGCTTATTTATTAGTTGCGGATCAAATTATTAATTTTGAAGTTTAAGTAGTAAAAACAAAAATTTACTCAAACATTAATGATCATATATGTAGTTTACTGTTTTCGGATAATACCAACCTCCCCTAATTTCTAGATGGGTAAACTATATGTGTAGTACATAAACTATTTAACTTTCAAATTTTATTTTTTTAATATTTTTGTGACATAACATTTGTATTATTATTTTATTAATATATAGTTAATTTAAAAAAAAAAGTAAATTTAAAATTATACCTAAAGTTAAAAATTATATCAAAAACCCTAAATCACAAACCACTCATACCACCTTCACGACCTTAGTCTTATCGATCTCTAAAACTCGTCCCTTCCTTTTTTTTAATCATATATTAATAAAATAATAATTAAAAGAGGTCATGTTATAAAAATATTAATAAAATAAGTTAGAGTGATTAAAATAGGAGTAATTTGAAAGTTAGATGATTAAATTAAAAAAAATTAAACTTCAATGATCAAAATAAGTGTAGGAAGATAATCGAGTGATGAATAATACGATTTACTCATAAAAAATGCAAGTTCTTTAAGTTATAACAATGTATTAAAATGAAACAAAAAGAGCCCTTAAACTTTTTTATTTTTTAGTATTAGTAATTTTTTATATAATCATTCCTCAGTGTGTCTATGGCCCAACAGAAATTCTTTCTCAATCCGCTGAAACCATTAAAATTCCTACTGCAAATTATGAATTTGGTGCCAACTTCAGTGATCCAAATGTAGGCTGCTTCTCTCGTTGTCACTACTCTTCCAGTTCATCCTCCTATCCTCCTGAATTATTTTAGCTTTACAAGTCAATTTAAAATTGGGATCAATCATGGTTTTCCCCAGCTGATGCTTATTGGGAGGGTGCTGACGGATGGTAGACTCAATGCGAGAGTGAAATGGGATTTGACAGACAATCTTACTGTGAAGGCTAATGCTCAGGCAAATCAGTGTTTCATTCCTTGGTCTTTTGTCCTTTTTGTTTGCATGCGGAATATATATTACCTTCATCTGTGACTGTCAGTTGATAACTTTCTTGTTTCCTTTGCAGCTAACAAATGAGCCTCTTACGTCAGATGGCATGTTCAACTTTGATTACAAGGTTGGTCACTATTTAACTATATTATCTTGGTTAGTTGGCTTTTATCCGCGTATGCATTTTTATTTATCATCAACGTGAGTGCAATACCTGATATTCTGATCTTTGTTTTTATTTTTTATTGAGTTTGTTCGTCTTCTGAATTGTGGGGAACTATTGTGCTTACACAGGAAACTTAGGGTGTCTGCCATGAATATGTGCTTAGTTTTTGTCTTTTGACACCATTGTTTTTCTTGCGCGGGGCAAAGACTATAGGTCTTAGTTTCAAATGGGAAATGGTGCTTTATTCGGAGCTAGTTATATCTAGGGAAATTGTATGAAGCCACATATCTGTTGAATTAAGCTGACAGGTTAAGAGCTTGGCATAATGGACAAGTTACAGGACTATTAGTACATAAAAGTTAACTTTGTACATATATTCAGTACAACATGGACTTGAAATTTAAAATACTACAAGTTAATATACTGGCAATGGTAGAAACAACCTAGACTTTCTCGGCTGAAGGCATTCTGCATATAGCATTGTTTGCTGTTTAAGAGACATTGCACGTCATACATCATCAGTCTACAGTTGAATACACTACTGGAATTATGATTCTATTGTTTTTAATGAACTGAATTTAAGCTTTATTTATGCAGAGAGTGACATCACATTTTTCCTTAGGTGGCGAAGTATTTTGGGCTGGTCAGCACCAGAAGTCAGGCCTTGGTTATGCTGCCCGACATGAAGCAGATAAGATGGTAAGCCAGATTCTGTCCTTTATCACTGGCTTGTCAATATTCTTTTGTGCTAGTTAGTGGGTGTTGTTTATTACTTCTAAATATGTTTCTAGATTTGTTACAGCGGTAGGGGGGTGTCATTTAGATCCCTAACCAAATTGCTGATTAGGGCTGCCAAGGTGTGAGAACCATGATCTCCTTTCTTTTCAATGTTTAGTGACATTTCCAAAACATGGAAGTGGCGGACCAAGTCATTGGAATCTAGGACATGGTTTAGGGCTGTGTTTCTGTAGGTAAAACTGAATGTGTGTTCAAAACTAATTTAATACATAGATTTAATGTTTCTAGATCTGTTACAGCAGTAGTGGTGTCATTTAGATCCCTAACGGCCTAACCAAAGTGCTGACTAGGGTTGCCAGATTGTGAGAACTGAGAACCAGGGTGTGCTTTCTTTTCGATGACTTACGTCATTTCCAAATTACGGAAATGGCGGATCAAGTCATTAGAATCAAGGGCATGGTTTAATGCTCTTTCTGAATGTAAACTGAATCAAAACTAGTTAATACAACGATTGGTGTTTGGCATTTTGCACTACTAGGTCAAAATTTGATTATCTCAAGTGCGTGCACGTGTTATAGACTCTTGAAAAGGATTCTAGTTAATGGTTTAAACCTCTCATGAAGTTCCTAGATCTTCAGATAAGCTGTTTCTTAGGTCCCTGGACATTTGATGGCAATCTTCTTCCAATCCCGAGCTTTTAGTCAATAAAACAGTTTAATTTGCTTCTCCCTCACCATTTTTTGCCTTACCCCTGTCAAGAGGAACTTGTTATTTGTTTGGATTTGAAATGCTATTGCTAGAATTATCCGCTGTTTGCATTGTGCTTGTCTGACTAACCTAAGCATTCTCTGGATCCAGGTTGCTGCTGGACAAGTTGCAAGTACCGGAATGGTTGCTTTGAGCTATGTTCTGAAAGTGTCGGACAAGGTAAGAATTTATTTTCCTCTTACTAACATTGCAGTTCTTTTCCCTGTCATTCTCACGCGGTTTTATTTCTATCAAGGCTTCTTTAGAATCAGATTTCATGTGTAATTACATCACGAAAGACGTGACATCAAGTGTCGGCTATGATTACATCCTCAGACGGGTAAGTTTTTCGTTGCTAAATTTCCGATATTAGTGTGCATCGATAATCCTGCATGTTTATACAAGTCAAGGATGTGTATTGTTTTAACTACCACAATTTTATCGATTTGTCACATTTTCAGTGTCGACCTTTTGCGACGTATTTGTATCTCGATTTTTTACGGCGTTTGTTCAAAAAACACCGCTATAGATCTTGACCTATTGCGACGTTTTTTTGTTCTCAAACTTAACTTTAGCGGCGCTTCTTGGTATTTTTTCTATCGCCGTAAATGCTTTTAGCGGCGCTTAAAAACGTCGCTATAGGACTAAAAAAACGTCGCTAAAACTCTATTTTGCTGTATGTAGTACATTCGAGGGGGAAGATTGATTCTAATGGATGCACAA